GAACAAGCTCTCAGTTTTTGAGACATGCAGTTAACAATAGACTGAAAGTAAAAATCAAAAAGATTCAACAAAATTCGAAATTTCTTCTGTAATAGTTACGAAATCAGTATAAATATCCAGTTAATTTTTAAAAAACATTTGAATGATACCTGAACAAATAGCTTATATAGTGAATATATGATCTATAAGCCAATCAAGAACAACATCATTTCAAATAGTTTTCTATGAAATACTGAGAAATACCCATAAAAATTCTTTAATCTCCTTGCTTTTATTATAGAATACAATGAAGAAATGAAGATTTCATTCAATTCATGAGCAACCATCGTTTGCATATTCTGAATGTTTTCAATTATATGTAACTAAGGGTTTTTTCTCGAAGTGAATATTGCAACATGTAGAATGAACATACGTTTGGCAGTTAAGTCATGATGGAATAAAAAAAAATAAGCAGCATGAAAATAAGCTGAGTTGACTGTAAAAAGGGAGAAGTACCAACAGAATGGCGTGTAGTTGCTTCCGGAACGAACACACGGCCATTACACAAATTTGATGAACAACAGCACATGGTTTTAGTCACATCGCCGATTACTTCGATTCGACAGGTGTCCTCACCGAAATTACACATTTTAAGATCTGTCACTGCTCGTGCGATGCCTTCACTTCCGTCGACATGAGTTTCTCTCATAGCCTGTTTAAATAAAAATCGTTATGGAGAAGTCTTGCATAAGAAAAACCTACAATACAACGCTCGTTTGAACCAGCTGTTTTGATGGTGATCCCAGTGGTGTTCGGATTAAATGGTTCACCGCAGCCTGGCGCCAAGATACTCCAGCATTCATAGCAATTGAACGCTTGAGTAAGGGTGACACCTAAGAATAAATCAAAGTTTACAGTCCATGTTGATTGAAAAATTTATACCGTAAATCGACCAGAGAAGAAAAACGAACCAATTCATCGATATACACATACGGGTTCGATGCTTTGATAAATATAGTTGCTTATCTTAATATTGACATCAAGGGTTTATGTTTCGTGCTGAAATCATGACGCAAACCAAAAAATAGATGTGATTAAGAATGATGTGTGAAAGAAAAGAGAAAGAAGATAGGTAAGCATCTCTAACAGGTTTAATATAAAATCAATGTGAAGTTTATGTATTGATAAAGACGGATTGGATGTCAATAACAACATGACACAAGGATATCGAATGTGCAATTCTTTGCTCAATAAACTATTTGTTTGACAAATAACAACATGACCACCGATTTGACGATATAACAGCAGAAAAATTCAGATTAAAATCTTGTTTTTTGCAGTAAATATGCCAAAGGGTGATGTTAAACTATCTATTGACTAAACTCAATAAAAATCACGATGCTAATCTATTATTTAAAGAAATTGATTAGAGTAGTCATGAATTATAAACTGATCGTTTGGACTCTAGATCTCATTGCAGGTCACCTTCCCTTGGTTTGCAACCATGCTCACAGCCTCACATCCACACCATATTTTGGGCTGTGTATCAGATATCGGCTTATACGTTTCTTCTGATATTAGAAAATCCAATGTGGCTCTATTAAATTGTTTCTATAACTCAAATAAATATTACTAGATGTTTTTATAGATTTTCTTCCCTTGTGTTTATGCATTTTTGCGTATGTTTAGACTTTTTTCCTATTTAGAAACATGTTCAAAATAAATATGCTCGAGAAACTATTTCAATCTTATACAGATGAATAGATTAAATCTTGCTGTGGGTGTTAGTAGAGATTGCTGGTCATTGTAAATGTATAGCTTAGTTTGTATTGATTATTTGCCGATAAAATGCCTACATGAGAGCGCAAGACTGAAAAACATTTTCGTTAACAATATAATTTTATAACATGCATAAGTTAACTGGCTTTGCAGGTCTTCTATTGATACGTTAACAGTTTCTCGATAAATTATGACCACTTGAATGTTTATATGTTTGTTCTTAGTTCTGTTTTTGAGTATTAATTGAACATTTGAATCCTAGAGTATAATTAATATAAGAAACACAATTTGTAGCCAATGAGAATTCGTCGCAAAATTGGATCAGTTGCACTCACTAAGAGCTCTGATTGATAAATATATTTATTCTTTTAATTATATATAGAAAATGCATATATGAAGTTTTCCAATCATCTTCATGTATTTATGACTTTAGCTTACTAGATGAAAACAAAACAATGAACTATTGATTTATTCAGCGTCTTGTGCATGCCTTTTCTTGTCTAATTATTTATTAAATTTCCCCAAATCATAATTTTCTACTAAAAAATTTGAATTTTATCGTCATGACGGTAAGTACACTACTAAAATGAAACAAAAATCTTTGAATTGTTTATACTTTTTCTAGTTTCGTCCTGCGTACTTTCCTTTTAGAATCTAATGAGTTGCTGGTTAGCTACTCCGGGCATTTTATTATATACTAAATAATCATCTTATTATAATCGAATTTTGGATTAACTAAGATATAGTAATGTCAATTTCTTTTACGTTCAATATACTTTATGCAGAAATTAAAACTTGAATTTTGCTGCACTTCGTAATTCATTAATTAAAAAATAAATAAAATTATTTCAATTCTTTAGAACTTAATATAGGATATATTTGCCATTTTTAATTACGAATTGCAGATAATTCAAATTTATAAAACTATTGACGATTTAAATTTAAAATAAATTTATGGCTGATAATATTATTTATGCTTAAATTGAATCGAAAGCAAATATCAATTGATATCCCTATTTTGCCTTTGTGTAGACTGTCTTTGATACGCCCTTCTCACAAGTTCAGAAAAACATACTCAGTTCAATGATCCATTCAGGCCCCACGATGTGGCGGGGGCTGCCGTGGGCTAGCCCCCGGCATTTTTTAAGCGTGTCTGCGAAAATTTTGAATATTGTCTGGCAGAAATGTGTAATATAGTCTGCGAAATTTAATTTTACGGCTGCAGTCGACTGGTCACGTGATAATATTAGCGGTGAAAACTTTTTGTTTTGAGACAATTTTTTCGAAGATTTTACTTAGTCCTGGAGGGGGGTAGAGGTATCTTCGTCGCGCTACCCCCCCCCCCCCCCCCCCCCCCCCCCCCCCCCCCCCCCCC